GTGTATTTAAAAAATAAATAAGGGTGTCTATTTAGGGCTTTGCGGTTTTCAGAAGGGGGGGGGCTCAGGCTTCCAGGGCTGGGGGGGTCTGGCTTGAGCGTTGAAGTGCGATTTGAAAGCCCACTGAGAGGAACATCATTGCGCTTTGGTCATTCGGTGAACGGTGGATGCAAGTTTGGTTTGGTCTTCAGTTCCAAGGCTTGCGGCAAAGTCCAACAGAATACTCAACTTCGATACATGCGAACATGATCTGGACAGCTATCGCTTCGTTTCTTGCATTCACTATCTACTCAAGGTCTGGGAGTAATGTACTGCTAGATACTACCCCTTTGCCAGCGATATCTGATTGCACATCGGAAGCTCTGTCTGACACCGTCTGACACCCTACATGGGGCTACGGCGCCTGTGAGCCGTCAGACACTGGCTACGTCTGAATTGAAAGAAGAAAAAGCACATTGACACCATTCGAACACGGATGACAAACAGCAAACATGACAATGCTACTCGACAGCGATAACAGCAGCAGCAACAGCAAGAGTACAGCAGCGAGAAGAACACGCACCACCGAAAATATCTTAGATATCGGGAGTCAGAATAGGTTGAGAAAGGGGGTACCTGGCGGCCTCCGTTTTTCGGGGGATAGTGAGGATAAAGCAAACGAATAATTTTCCAACTGTACCTAAACCTCTATGAACCCTCTAACTGTCGAGTAGAGAGGTACACAGCGGAATCACACCTGCCTCCAGTCTGGCGTCAACAACCTTAGTCTTCCAAAGCTCAGTAAATGGCACATATATGGGACCGCAGGACTCTTTACAGCACTCCTTCTCTGGATTCTCAGATCACGGCTGCATCGTATCACGGCGCAGGGGCACCAACTCTCTCAGAAGCCTCTCATGGTCGGCCTGCGGCAGTTGGTTTCCGAATTCACCTGGCGCCTGCTAATTAAGCGGAGACATCACGGTGAACCGACATGACTATAATGGGCACATCATACCTCACGCGACCCGAGCAGGTGCTTCGAAAGTACATCAAGGCGACCTAATTCTAAAACTCGAACCCTGAACAAGTCTGTCCGCCCCAGGCGGGTAGCAACAAGCACTGAAACCTCCCTTAGCCCTCCCATGGCGGGACGCATGGGCCTGGTACTTTTGAAGGGTGGCCTGATCCAGTGTCTGCTAAGACCCGCTCTGATGTTTGAAACGAGTCTTCACCCCATTCATAAACCTCTTCCGTAGCAGCTGGGTATAGCAGGGTTTCACAATCCGTGCCTTCAAGAAGCTAGGGTTCAGGATCCCGGGTTAAGAAGTTGAGGGTTCGCAGCCTTTGGTCGATTGCCGCCGCTACGCTTGATGCAGGCCGCTGGCATTGACTCTAGGCCTTCAAAACTAAGCCTGAAGCGGCAAACCTGAAATTCAAAACCAAACCCTCAAGCCTCAAACCCCGAAACGCCCTCGGACCCGAAAGTTGAAAGCCGAAGCCGGCAAACATCCTGGAGGGGTCGCAGACTCAAATGTTAGCTGCCAAGTTTGGAGGCTTTGCCGTGGGTCCCTTTTTTTCTTTGTCGCCTGAGATAGAAAATTGCAGTTGCTGGAGGGGGCTGACGGATCTTATGCTGCTAGTTATCGACTTTGACCACAGGCAAAAGATCGGTCCCTTAAGCGTTGAACTAGGTCTGGGGGTTCGTTTCAGCTTGCTGCTGCCATTGCCAACGTCTCTTTGGAGTAGAAACTGACGGGACCTCTTGTCTAAGTGCTCAGAATGAAACAGGATGCAGCAAACGATCATCGAGAATGGGAAACGTTTCAAACAGGGACAGCAAGTTGAAGTAGAAGTAGCCGCAGAAGCTAAAGTTAAGGATAACAAAAAAAGCAGTAGTGATGGCGTTGTAGTAGTGCTAGTAGTAGTAGTAGTAGTAGTAGTAGTAGTAGCAGCAGCAACAGAAGTAGTAGTAGTAGTAGTAGTAGTAGTAGCAGCAGAAGTAGTAGTAGTAGTAGTAGTAGTAGTTGTTGTTG